GGGAGCGGGGTCCCCCCTCTGTCCCCCTGAATCTTCATCGGGGCGGCCCTTCTCCGAGGGGGGAGACCCCCGGGCGGTGTCTGGCAGCACCGGGGCTGGGTCTCGGGGGGGGGCGGCCACCCCAGCAGCGAGTGTCTGAGCGCCCTTTGGCTAACAGGCCTTTAAGGCTGGGGAGGGGGTGTGCCCTCCCTTCCCGCAGCCCCTGCGCATCTCTGAGGAGAAGTGGTTTTTCCTGGGCAGGTTGGTTATCGCCAGGCATGAACCTGCATGGACGGTGCGTATTTTTCTCAGCTCACCGAATTATCTTGCCTATCTGTCCTTGTTTACACTCCGAAAAGTGTCATTTCCTGAGCCTCTACCCTACCCCGTAGATAAGCGCCCAGGGGATGTGTGTAAACCAGCCTCGTTCCTTGGCCGCTGCGTGTGGAGTAGAGACTTGAGCCAAGCCGAACTGGTTATTTACAAGTCGCTCCTTAAACCAGGTTCCTTAATATACGACTTGCAGTGGCTGGCAGCGTGCTACCTTAGTGTTACGGGCCGAGTGCAGCCTCATCTTCAAAGCCTGTTTTGAAAAGAGGCAAAAACTTCACTTCTGTACCGTCAAGGGAGCTGTGCGGATCCCTTCATCTGAGTGTTCAGCGTAAAACCACCCAAAAAACCAAAGCGGTGTGGCTTTTAGATCCCAAGGTGCTGGTTGTTGTGGACCGAAATCCCAGTGCTGGCCTGGGATTCCGGCGCGAGGGCTGTTGAAGAGCAGCCGTGACAGGGTTCAAAAGTTGCCGAGTTGTCCTTTGCGCTTCCCAGGGACAGGGCACGGGGTTGAGATCGCTGGAAGCTTAGCGAGTTAAAATTATACCCGCTGGCTGAAAACCTACGCTTGCCTCCAGCTCGCGTTTCCAGGCAGGGCTCAGTCAAGAAGCCATCGCTTGGGAGTTTCTTCAGGAAAAGGCCCTTGGTGATCTAAACGCATCCTTAAGCCAAACCAAGCTGCCGGAAAGCAGCTTCTTAGAAGAGAGGCTAGAAGGAAGCATAATCCTAATTTTTAAGCTACAAACAGGCCCCAGGGAGGAGAGCTGCTGTGGGCTGCTCACGGTGGATGCTTGAAGGGGTCAGACTTGGTCGGGTGCTTGCATGAACTTCTTCCCAGGGTACTAACACGCATCTGGAGGAAGCAAAACCCTCTTTTAACCCGTGCCCCGCACACGCTCGCTGCCCAGCGTGGCCGGACAGTGCTCCCTGTGCCGCTCCCGGGACTCGAGCTGACTGCCACTGCCAAGTTTGGGATGAGGATAGCGATGGGCTGCGGGTCTGGGCTAGGGAAAGCCCCAGAGCCGCAAGCAGGGCTCAGCGGCTGAAGGGGTCTTGTGTTTTGACTTCTGCGTGTGCCAGAGGAAGCAGAACTGGGAAGTGTCTTGAACTGCTCTGCGTGAAAACTACAGCCTCTCTTTTTTTTTTTTTTTCTTTTTTTCCCACAACTACACTTCATTATCCAGCTTCTTGATGCCTTGGCCAAGAGTTGGAGAGAGCTATCAATAGTACATTGTTGACTGGGGGGGGGGGGAGGGAGGAGGGAAGGGAATAACAAAGCTGCCAACAGCTTTCTGGGGGTGGGGAACTGCACAGCAAAGTGCTTTGTCATGCCTCTCGCCATCCACTACTACTGAATACACACTGGTCCATTGATAGCCCCAGCCATGCCGTGAGGAGGGACTGTATTAACACAAAACGCCACTGAGCATGTCTGCCAGGCGGTTGGCCCTGAGACATCTTCACAGCAACTGCCTAATAGCTTTTCCTAGCGTGTTTAAACGGCCTTTTCTCCCAGCAGTGTCTGCCATGGCGTGTGGGAATGCTGCTGAGGAGCCCGGTCTAGCAAACCTGGAGGAGGAAATATGTGGAGGAAGAATATCAGTGTTTCCTGTAGAAAGATTATTTTGGTAGGAGGTAGCAAGCCAAGATCTTCGCAAACTCTGCCTGTGTCGCAACTGCGTTTGCGAGATATTTTGGGGCGTTCAGAAATGCCAAATTTCAGTGGTTTGTTTGCAGTCTGGTACACGTTCCGGCATTCTGTGTAGGTGGTTCAGGTGGCTCTGACAGTGCAGCTCGGTACTTGGTCTTTGGATGCTTAAGCCTGTTCCCTCATGGAGAGGGATTAGAGTAGAAAAACACTGCCCTGGGAACAGCACGAGTGAGAAGTTTTAGGACAGACAGTAAGTTGTCAGTACGTCTACAGAGGCTGTCCCGAATAGCCTTGTTCCTCGTCCCACTTACTGAAAACTCCAATTCTCTTATTTTGGTGGTGTTTACATAGCTTTGCGCTGGGGTGTTTCATAATGGGAACACCGGGGAACGACTGGTTTCTCGGCGTTGCTTTTGCAGGCTTTGTTAGAGGAATACTGCTGCCGTGCCGTGCCTCAGCAAAGAGCTTTTGTGGCACTGATAAAGGGAGCAATGCTCCAGAAGTAAAATAATTTGCCTTTGTGAACTTCCTGAAAGCTACGGCAGACAGTAGAGCCTGGGTTCAAAGTGATGCTGAAAGACCACGTGTAGGACATCCAAACAAACTCGGAAACTGCAAGGGAAACTTTTTTCTTGCTCTTCAAAGTAGATCTGTGGGGTGAACTTGTCATTTTTAGGGTCGGGGTGAAGGATGCTGGTACGATGTTTCATTTGCAGGTGAAAATGTCAACTTGGACGTTGTAGAGCGTGTTGAAAATATCTGAAAAACCAGCCCTTGCACTCCTCCGCGTTTTGAAAATGCGAAACTTAAACCTCCTCCTTCTGGGTCCTGTTGATCTATTTGTAGATATTTGTCTACAGAAAATGTGTGCTCATCTGGTCATGCGTTTCCAGCCATCTGCTATTGGCAGCCTTCCAGGCGTCCCTTATTAGCATGAGGTTGCTCAGCACTCGGTCTCCACGTTCTTGGCTGCAGAGCCCCTCCTCCCTTTCTAACAAAACACGGCTGGTTTCTGATACGACCTGGGCAGCCGGTGTTTTTCATGTCGCTGTCTGGGCGCTAAAGCATCTGATAGCTGCCTCTGATGTGCCGTGGAGGAGCAGGGGTACGAGTGGTTTGGGGTCATGAGAAGCTGTAGCATCCAAAATGTGATCCCTGCTAATGTAACCTGGTGTTCTCTCTCTTTCTCTTGCAGTAGTATTTTACCTTTGAGTAACTGTCCCCAGCTGCAGTGCTGCAGGCACATCGTTCCAGGGCCTCTGTGGTGCTCCTGATGCCCCTCACCCACTGTCGAAGATCCCCGGTGGGCGAGGGGGTGGCAGGGATCCTTCTCTTTCAGCTCTGATATATAAGGTGAGCAAGACCTGACATCTGAATAACTTGTACCTGTGTTGCAACTGTGTTTGGTTCCTTCTGCAGTCTGATGGGGATAAATGCAAATAACCCCGAGATAATAAGTGGGAGAACACTTAGTTCTTCAGTGACCCCGTGCTGAGTGGCATGCGGTGCTCTCCCACTTAAATATCCCGTTTATTAAGGAACGAGAGGCCTGTTCTCAAAGGTGTGCACAAACAATTCACTAGCCCTGTTCCCAGAGGTCTGTTTCAGCTATTGTATGTGGAGCCAGCATTATGAAAACATGAAACAACTGCTTAAATGTCTCACAAAAAAGAGGAAGCGGGAAGCAGAAAGGTGAAACGCAGCGAGAGAATGGTTGATAAGCTCCTTCCTGTGCCCTAGTCCGGAAGGTAAAGCCGTCGGGGCCTGGGAGCTGCCTGAACCCACGTACCGAGTGACTCCTGACTTCACAAAAGAGTGAGGCAACCCTCCACCTCGCAACGTTTCTAGAACACGTGCGTAGGATGAGGCAAGATCAGGAAGGCTTTGTGTCTGCAGACTTGCTGAGGAGCACGTGGGTCTGCGTGGCTCTTATTTTTCGGCTCTCTTCATGCTACAGGACCTTCCCTTTCGAATGAGGAGACCTGGCTGCTCCTTGCTGTAGAGTAACTGGCACTTGTGCAACATTGTGTTGTGCTGGCACGTATCTGTCTCCCTTCTGGGACAGAGGCTGCTTTCCCACAAGCCAGGGAGCAAAGTGCTATCAGATGAGGTAGCCTAAATTGATGCTAAGCTTGCAAATTTGGCTGTTTGACAAGAGTGTTGTCATAGGCGTTAGACTTGATTTTTAATTATCCCGTGGGAGGCATGCAGACTTTGTATGATGAAAAGATAAAGGCCCTTTTGGGTCACAGCTACCAAAGTCGTCTTGAAATTCCTGAGAGGATCGCAGACCTCCCGGCTGCTTTTAGAGGAGTTTTCTTTAATGCAGCCTTGGTGAATTTTTAGCATGTGCCTCACCCGCTTGCCTTGTGAATAAATGTCAGCCTCTGTGGCCTCTTAGCAATAATGTAGCATCAGCTTAATGCTACCGAGGTGAATGGTGTCACGGATGTTAGAGGGGTATGAAATCCAGAGAAGCAGCAGAGCGGTGGCAAAGAGCACAACGGGCTTCCTGTCAGAGAAGATACATAAATAGCTTCAAGAGGGCTCAGGACAAATAATGAGTTCCCTCTGGGTGGGAAGGGATGAGAAGTAGGGGACTCTGCAGCTTGAACTCCTGCAGGCCAGCCTTGCTTAGCCTTCTATACACCCCAGGCAATGTCCAAAGGCTGAAAATGGGCTCAACGTGGAAGAGATGCCGGTGGAAAGAATCACAGTTTGGAGGCTTTGAAGTGTTTGATTGCAGTGTGGCCTCAAATTCGCACAGAAGCTTTTGGCAGTGGTGTGTAGGCAGGGGTTGCTGCCTGCAGGGATGTCATCTAGATAGCTGCATCCCAGAAATACGGATATAATTCTTTCTGGGTTTACTGGCAATGAAACTGGCAGGTTCTGTTGGAGTGGAGTGGGCTGTGTTGCCCAGTGATTTAAAGTCCAACCACAGGCAGGGGTTACTGGGATTCTCTCTGCCCCTCTCAGTTGCCTGCTCAAGTTAGCAGTGCTGTGGTCACAGCAGGCTGAGCTTTTCAGCCAGCAAGCTTCAGCATGACCTGGAAAGGCATCTGGACCCAAAAGCTTAAGTACTTTTTCCAGCTGTATCAGCTGTTCTCGTTCAAGGGATGACCTTTCTGACCGAGCCCGCCTCCTTCGGAGCGCGCCGCGCAGTGCCCCTACGCAACCGCGCGGTAAATTAAGCAGCTGGGGCTCCCTGTAGCTGTTGGGATTCCTGTGCTAAGAGACTTGATGCTCGGTCCCTCACGGAGGGAGCTTTACTCGAGCTGGGACCGCAGCAGCGATCGGCGTGGGTGCTGCGCAGCCAGGACGGGCTCTGTGCGCGCGGACGTGCTCTGGCTAGCGCGCTTGGCAGGAGGCTGCAGGTGCAGCACGTGCCAGCAGTGGGCTGCTGACACGGGTTTCTCGAGTCGCTTGGCTGTGGTAGATCATAACATCCTTTCTTCTTAGGCTGCCAGCACGTAGGGCCTGCCCCCCCGTCCTCCTCGGGACATCTGAGGAGCATAGCTGGGTTGGAAAATCTCGTGCTCGGTGAATTGTAACTGAGAGGGAGCTGGTCCTTGTGGCTTTACTTGGCTGACATGGAGCCCGCGGCTGGAGAAGTGGTGGTTTAGGCAGCTGTGTAAAGAAGATAGCCTGGTGGTTTGGGTTTTTTTTTCTTTACTTCCCCCCTGCAATAGCATGGTGGGGGGGATTTTGCAGGGCTGAACTAAAACCGAACACTTGTTGCGTCAACAGGGTTTTGCTTTGAGCAGCTTCCAAAGAATTCTGGGCTGCTGCTTTGCAGAACAGCTTCTCTTCCCCAGCATCTCGCTGTTTTGATGCCTAGAAATGAAGTATCAGCTGCCCGAGACATGCGGTGTGAACGCAATTCCCACTGAACAGGGGGAACTGGTTCTCTTCATCCCTGCGGTTATGCTGCCTTTGGTTCGTGGGCTGTCGCGTTAGGGGGCTCTGGAGTGGAAAAACTCGCTAGGTTTGGAGGGCAGGGCGTAACTCCTGGTGGCAGAAGGGCTAAGACAGAAGGCTGAGGAAGCTTTGCCATTCCTATTGCAGGCTCCTGCCAATCCTCCAGCACAAACGCACGCATGTGCCTCCCCCTCCAATGTGTCGATCCCAGCCTGCTTTTCTCAACTTCCTCACCCTGTTTTTGTTTTCGTGAAGTGTAAGAAAAGAAGCATCTGTGAGCCTTTCTTGCGAGGAGGATCTTTTCCGAAACGGAGACACTTTCTGCACGGCAACAACAACTGTAAAAGGCTCCTATAAAGTCACTGGCAAAGGATGTGCGTGTAATCCCCTGGGTTTTGGTCTTGGTTTTTTTCTTCACTACACCTCTGTGGGGCAGGGCTCTCGCTGCTGGCTCTGCGGTGCTTTAGCAGCAGCAGCAGCCTGACTTAGCTGGAGCAGCTGCTGGTGGGTTTCTTGGTGTGCTTGGCTCAAAACAGCAGTAAAGCCCAACAGCAGGCGCAAACCACAGAAACTTCTTTCAAACTCGATGAATAAACTTATTTCCTACAGGATATTTATTCTGATGAAGTGTAAACTTGTTTTTCATCTAAGCTTTTGTGGGCTTTAAACAAACGGCAGCTTCCTCTGCTCCCGTTAGCAAAGCCAGGCAGTTCCTGATTGGCATGCGGCGTTACTTCGTCAGCAGCGTTAACGTGCTCTATGCCTTCTTCCTTGTCACAACAGTCAAACCTGGAGGGAGCTATTTTAATACATGTGATAGGAATTAAAGCAGTGGGACGCAGGCTTGAGGAGCCTAGCAGGGTTCTCGGAGATGTTTTTGCTGAACTGCTGGTCTTTCTGCGATGTTTTTCATAGAATCATAGAACGGTTTGGGTTGGAAGGGACCTTAAAGATCATCCCGTTCCGACCCCCCTGCCGTGGGCAGAGACACCTTCCACTAGACCAGGGTGCTCAAAGCCTCATCCAGCCTGGCCTTGGACACTTCCAGGGATGGGGCATCCACAGCTTCTCTGGGCAACCTGTCCCAGTGCTTCCCCACTCTCTCCGGGAAGAACTTCTTCCTGATATCCAATCTAAATCTCCCCTCTTTCAGTTTAAACCCGTTACCCCTTGTCCTGTCACTACAGGCCCTTTTATCTTGATAGCTGAAAACACCGCTGGAAAAGCAGCGATACTGAGGAGTCTTCCATCCTCTTCCCGGGCACCACTGGCTGCCGGTATGTTTGTGCTGCTCGTCCTGCAAATGCTTCTTCCCTGCAGATCCAAACTGGACTCGGTTTTCCGTGCCGCGCTGGCTGCCTGTTTCAGTCAGAGATGAGTAGGTGCCGCTACAGAGCATCTGTGAAGCTGTGGCCGGCGAGGTGTGTGTCTGCAGCCATGGCGGCTGTCTCGCCGTCGGTCCAGCTGACTGTCCGCAGCCCAGGGCTCATTGTGAGCTGCTGAACTGAATCACCCAGGTAAAATAAAGCGCCTGGAGGCTGGACAGTTGCTCCCGCTTCGAGCCGACGGAGTAAACCACCTCCCAGTCCACCTGCTGATGCTGCCGAGGAGGGGGGCGCACGCATCTCCCAGCCATTCCTGCGACTTGGGAGCAGAGCAGACATGACTTGCATTAGCTGGTTTACTTCCACCCTTCAGAGCTGCACAGGTGACTCTGTGACCGTGAGAGGGTCCATACGCGTGAGCCTGTATCCAAACAGATGGGACAGTTCAGCTCCCGCCGCAGTTCGCAGCGTTAACCCGGGAACCTAATGAATTTCTTCATCCTTTCATTGGGGCTCTTTGCAGTGAAATGTGGAAATCATTACCGGGCCAGCCAACTGCCCGCAAAAAACTTGTCAGGAGGAGGGATGGAGTTTAACCACGAATTTGTTTTCTAGGAACTGCTGAGCTGAAGCGGAGGCGGCCGGCATGCTTGGCATTCTAGTTAGAGCAGTACTGGAGAGGGACGGGTACGGTTGTGGTCTCTGGAAAAGACCTCGTCACCGCCTCCTAATCTGTGTAGCTTCCGTCTGGTTTGGGATTCTCCACGCACCACATATTCTCCTCCCTTCAACCAGGAGGCAGACCATTTGCCATACCAGTTGGTTGTAAAATCTGGGGGAAAAAAAGGCGATTTGTGGTCATCCCTAAACAAAAAGACTGCGTTGGGGATTGGGGAGGCGAGGAGATC